ACTGTATACTGTTGAAGGGTCAGTGGTGGTTGTTTTACTGTATACTGTTGAAGGGTCAGTGGTTGTTGTTTTACTGTATACTGTTGAAGGGTCAGTGGTGTCTTTAGGAATAGAATTCACTTCCCTGCACACTCTTCTATGAACTCATCTGTGAAGGCATAGGCAGATATCCATTTGGAATATACAAAACCAGGAAAACTTAAATCCTGATATTGCTCTAAAACTGGCATTCATGGTGGGTCCAGCTTGCTACGCTCCCTTCTTTTAGACCACTGAGCACTGTGTATCCTCAACATGCTTAGAAACTGGCTTTTAGTACGTTTGCACCAATGTCTTACCTTCTTTCAGGTTAAATGGAATCTCCAATGTCCACTGGCCTTTCTATAATCTATAATAGCTACCTAATCATTATAGCACCATATATAAAATAAATGTTTAATAAAAATTTGGTGATAATGAAGAAAAAATTAAAAAACAAAGCCCCAACCTGTTAAAAGACTCCTAAAGTATCATAAAGAGCAAAGAAAACATACACTGTACACAAATTATTTCGAATCCACCCAACGACAAGCAAGGTGGAGTTAAACACTGCTGTGTGTCTGCTGAGAAGCTGAAGCTAGCATTTCTACTTACCAGGGATTCTCTTATAGAATGGACATGTTCTCACTTCCCTTGCACCAGATGACTCTGAAACATTCACGTTCCCTCTCTGTGGCCTGCCATGAGTCCGTCTTATAAAGGCTTTGCTCTTATTTAAACCGACTGCTCCCAATTCTGGAACTTTGATAAGGTGACCAGACCTCCTCTGATCCGTCCCTTCCCGTGGTGAATTTGACTTTTTATGTCTCTTTCTTCGATGTTGGGCCCTCTCTCCAAACAGTTCCATAGAGTGCTGACTCTCATTTAAATTCCCGGAATCCAATTCTAAGTCACTTAGAGAGTTCTCTGCTTTCCTCTTGCACAGCCGGGGCCTCTTTTCCTTAGGACTCACGACTGGATCGACATTCGGCCCTTCTAATGCACCTTTCCTTGGTGACGTCTCTTCTTGTCTTTTGGGGGGTAGTCCAAAAAACACACCTATATCCATTTGCTTCATGACTTTCTTAGAAGGTTGGCTTGCGTTGCACTTGGGACTGGGAGGCAATATGCTCAAAGATTTGGCAAGAGGCGGACGCTTCTCTGCCTTTCTGCAGGCACACGCCGAGTTAGCAACGGCAGCACCCGAGCCCTTACTCTGTAATCCTCTAACTTGGCTTTGGGTGGGATGCAAAGGTAGGCACTCCCCTCCCTCCTTTTCCAGTGGTTTTGACATGGCACTTGTACGTAACGGCAGAGAAATTTGATTGCCAACAGCTGATGTTTCAGCTTTCTGTTTCTGATGACTCGATCCAAGTGAGTGAGATTCTGGCTCAGCAGGTTTGGCTTTGGTGGTTTGATAGTTAGGAGCTAATGCAGGTGAAAACAAGAGAAAGCCAGCATCTGTGGATGGCGGGTCATCTTGGGAAAGCCTGCTCTCAGTGTAGGAGAGAAGCTGGAACGAATCATGCAGAACACGACCTTTATACAATCCACTGGACTTAGCCTGAGTTACCGGGCTTTTTGCCACGGGGCAGATGCCCTCTCCTGCCTTTGGGAAGGGATCATGGAAATTTTCAAATATGGCAGAGCCGCCTTCTTCTAGGCTGCTGTCTTTAGAGCTTTGGGTGAAAAACAGGTCCTGCTGTGAATCGTCCAGCTCTTGGTCTAAGGCATAAGTCTCTTCATCGCTCTGCAATGGAGAGTAGGAGATCTCACAGCCACCACAGTCATTTTCTGGTGATGGCAAACTCGTATTCTGTGAGCCACTTTGGCTGTTTAATTCGTCCTCAGCAAGAGGCAAACCACCTTCCACAGACTTGTGCTTCTCAACAAACTCTGTACGCTGTGGAACTGGTGATGTTTGAGAACTCCTAGAAGAGGGAATCTTTCCATTGGTTTCAGCTGGAAGCTGAGCTGTTTCTAGACACTGTATCATCAACAAAGAATCATCTAAAACTTTTGTTAAGTTCTCAGTTTTCTGATGCACAGGCCATCTTTCCTCAAGGTTACAAGAAGAGTCTGGCTTTGCAGCAGTGAAATGTCCAGCCAGCATGTGTGATGGGCTGCTGAGAGGCTCATTGCTAGACCTACTTTGAGCAAGCAGGAGGTGAGTGTATTTCTTATAATGAGAAGGAATTGTGGAGGTACATAGAAGACCCTCGGGACACTCTGAAAATAGTTTTAAAAAAAAGCATTTTATACAGTGACTTTGATAGTGCTACCAAAGTAACCTCTAAGCACAAAAACCATGGGTCCCATTTTATTTTCTTTTTAAGACAGTTTTTCTGTGTAGCCCTGGCTGTTCTGGATCTCGCTCTGTAGACTAGGCTGGCCTCCAGCTCAGAGATCCGCCTGCCTCTGCCTCTGCCTCCCAAGTGCAGAGATGAAAGGCGTGCACCACCACCACCCTGCCAACCATGGGCCACCTTTAAGAACTATGGCAACAGCTATGGCTAACTGCAGGACAGCTGCTGCCAAGATCAACATTAAAACACCAAAAATTAATCCAACAAAGTTTTAGGAGGCACTATTTATTACATTTAAACCAAATACTTTTAGATTGCTTTTCAAAGCTCTTCACAAGAAAATTTGAGATAAAAAAAAACGAAATAGTCATAACTCATTCTCCATATAGTCCAAGTAGAATTTTCTACGTGTTAAATATGACATTTATCTTAAAATATAATAAAAACATGGCATCACTTTTGTTGCTGGCACATTTTTATGAGAATTTGAGTCATCTCAGACAACCTTCTAGTTCCTCTTCCGGCTACTAACACGCATGATGAATACAACATACCCATATTTAGAAACCAAATGTGTTTATAATTCCTATCTAATTCTAAAATGGGATAACAATTGGCCTGGTTATTTAACTTGTAGAAATCCTCATGCATAAAATGTTGATACCATCTACCTTCTATGGTCTTTGTAAGAGTCAAGTAAGAGAAAGCCTAGTGAAAGTCCTTAGTGAACATTTACGGGAAGTAACTGGGACGCTGGGATGTGGGAGACGCTGGGATGCAGGCTCAGTCAATGAAGCGCCTGCTGTGCACACAGGACCTGGGTTCAGATCACCAGCCCTTCAATAAACAAGCACGTTTTTACCATCCCAGTACTGCGGAGGCAGCAACAGGAAGGTCCCGGGGGGTTTTCTTACCTGTGTCAGAGATTGGTGGAGAATCCAAACACTCAAAAACATGCCATCGGGGCGTCTGGCCTATCAGTGAGGAAAAGGGCATCTGGCAGCTTGGGCAGTGTCCATCATAAACCGGGCGGACCTTTGGGGACACGTGTTTGTTTCTGTGAGATCTACAGTGCTTTCTTGGAGTAGTCTCTTTGCTTTGAGACTGTGGAATCTCATTGCTATGACTTGAATTCTGACTGGAACCTACAGAAAGCTGACAGTCCGTTTCTCCAAGGCACGCCCTGTGGTCCTTCAGCTTGTCTTTGTCTTCTGTGGTTCCTTTTTTGTTCCTTTTTCGTTTTGCCCGGTATTTTCCATCTGTGGCTTTTCCAGCAGATTCTGGATTACTTTGAGAACAATTATTTGGATGTGCTGGTTTTGGTTTTCTTTTAGATTTATATTCCCAGATGTCTTCTTCCCAAAACGTGTCTTCTAACATGGCAAAATGGTTTTATGAGTACATTAGTCTTTAGTAAATTCAGAGTCCTTTTCTTGCTACAATTTTTTAATAGGAAAAAAAATTAACCAAAAGCCAAGTAACTTGGTTGGAATCTAAACCTTTGGTGATGATTATATTGCCAGGCAGCACACTTAGTACCTGTGAACACCCACTGTTCCATTTACACCACACAGATTAAGAGGACCTACCACAGGCTAACGCCTGCATCGTTTTCTTTACGTTGTGACACTGTTTCATCAAGCATCCTTTTTTTCTTTCTTTCTTTCCCAAGACTTCATAAAACTAAGAATCAATAATGCCTTGAAAATTAAGCACGGTGAGAAGTACAGGCCGGACAGCTTCATCTTAAATAGGCTCCGTGTTCACCACTGAAACTAGTCACGCCATAACCAAAGAGGTGCCGGTCACAAAACTGCCCGGTGGACTCGTGACTCATGGATATCCAACCAGCTCCGGTGTCCTGGGTCACTCCATTTCCTCCTCCACCACAGGTTCAAACCCTGCACCGTGGACAAAGTTCAGACACTGAGACTGTACCCAGGCACACTGGACTCCGGCCCACAGGGGCTGTCCGTCCTGAAAGTGGTCAGCCCCATCTCCAGACAGACGTCGGGGGTCAAGCACACAGATCCCCGCGGGCCCCTCCACCCCTCCTTTGGACCCGGGGTCGGGGAAGGGCGAGAAGGGGTCTGAAGTTGTCCTCGGGTTAAGCAGTGCCGGCTCGGAGGCCCGCCCCGAAGTCCCCGTGGGTGCACCTGGCCTGGCAGCCTGGGGACCAGCTGCAGCTGCCTCTCCGCGCCACCGCCCCCGCTCGCGGGACATTCCATTCGCTCCGGCACTTTCAGCACTCCCAGAGTGACAGGATACACTTTTTTTGTTAACACAAAACCACTGGCCTCACTACTTACAGTTAACAACGCCTCCCCTCCGAGGATTCCTAACCCTTTACCTTTCGGGTCTGTCTTGGCGGGAACCGTCTCTGGCTGTCACTGCCGCGCCGAATCGGCTGATCGCAGTGCAAGAGTGGGGCAACTGTTTTCCTAGGTCGGCTCTCTCTAAGTTGCACATAGTTATTTGAATTTTATTTGTGCTGTTAACCCTGTGGGGCTTCAAAGGGAACGGGTTCCCCAGCCCCTCCAGAGTGCGGCCCCAGCGGCCTTCCCCGTGTCGAATCTGGCGCTCTGAACGTCCAGGCTCCGCGGCGGCCCGGGACCTGGAAGGGGCGGGGTGGGCAGAGCCGGAGTTTGATTGCGCGCCGGCGAGGCGCGGCCCTTCGGCCTTGGGCGTCTGAACCGCGGCCGGGAGCGGCCGGGCGCGTGAGGGGCGCAGCTCGGGGCTGGCCCGGCTCGGCTCGCCCGGCCCGCGCCCTCGAGCCCGGAGCCCTCGGGAGCTCGCACAACATGGCGGCCCCCGGCGCGCGCAGCGCCGGCCTCTCGGGCCTGCTGCCCGCGCAGACCTCGCTCGAGTACGCCCTGCTGGACGCCGTCACGCAGCAGGAGAAGGACGAGCTGGTCTACCAGTACCTGCAGAAGGTGGACGGCCGGGAGCAGGACCTAGCGGTGCCCGAGTTCCCGGAAGGTGAGGGGCTGGCGTCGGGGAGGGGGCCGCTCCCGGGCCCTCCGCTTCCCGGCTGCTGTCCGGGGGCCCCGTGCCCTGCGACCCGCCCCCGTCCCCGAGGTGGTGCAGAGTGGCGGACGCACGGGGGGCGGGGGGACGACTCCGGAGGGCGAGGGCCAGCGTTTGCATCTGGTGTGAGTCCTGCCTGGCCTGCCGTCAGTGGCCTCGGTTTCCAGTGACTGCAGTACCCAGACCACCCTGTCCCGGACAGCCCGTTTCTCCAGCGATGTTTATTGATCACTTCCTACGTGCTACACAGACGGTTCTGAGCCCTTAGGGAGAGATCTGAATGCTGGTACAACCTACAGGGCGCTCTTACTTGTGTTGTTTCATAGTGAAGGAAACCGAGGCACAGGAAGGCCAGGGAACATGCTGCTGCCCATCTAGGAACTTGTTCATCCAGAGTTGAACTATATTCCACAGATTGGACGCTTCTCTAGCCCTGCCGCGCGCGTTCCCACGTTCAAAGTGGTGGGCTTACTGAGTTTTAGAAATTGGAATCAATTTTAGTTTCGTAGTCAGGGTTGAATCCTAGCTGTGGGAACTCTTGGGTCACGAGGAAATAGATACTCCCAACAGTGTAGTTTAGACAAAATGCTGCCTTACCTTTGGTTGGGGTGTCATTGTTTAGCTTGCTGGTGTTGGCTTGTGTCCTGGCCTGACACTGAAACCACATGCATAGTTAATTGGCTACTGTGGCAGGGTTCACGTATCTCCCTAAGGATGTATCAGTCAGTACCTCTTCTGGCCCATAAGAGTCTTGAATGTCTTTCTTACCCTTTTAACTTGAGAGGGAGGGGCTTCCTCCCTCCCCCTTTATTATTATAATGGATTTAAAATACTGTCGAATTGCAACAACAAAAAAATGGCTCCATGGAGGTTTATCCCATTAGAGAAACTTCAAAATAACAAATACATATATACAGATGTATACATAGCTCCTGAAAACTTTGTAATAAAGCACGTAGTAAATACACTATTCTAAACCAGGACCTCAGCTAGAGTTTTGGGAGAACGTTTCATTTTTCTACTTTTGTTTGTATTTATAGTAAGTTTACTTTATTACTGTGATATTTGACCACTGTGACTCAAGTCATAAGAAAGTAATCAGGCTTTGTTTTTTATATGGTCTGATATTCTGCTGGACCTGATTATTAAGGACAGAATGCTAAAAATGAACAAAGCAGTTGTAGTTGACTCATCAACAGAGAAAATACCGGTTCTTCGGAAGCTGCCATCTGCAGTATAATGGGTGGATCCAGGCCAGCCTGAAATTAAGTCCTTGTTCCTTCTGTTATCTTTTTGCTTTTGAACACATTACTTGATTTCTCCAGGTCTTGGTTTTTTTCCCTTGTAAAGTGAAACTAATATACTTTTTAGGATTATTATGTGGAGGTAACTCAGGCAAATTCTTAGGAAACAAGGAGACTAAGTTGGCCATTTATTGTATTCACTGTAATCATTGCAGCTTAAAATACAATATTATCATTTAAATCTGTGAACACCTAGTACAGTAACTTAAATATGATAACTGTCTGTGTTCTCAACAAATCACTCTTAACAGTCTTTATTTATTTATTAAATATGATAACTGTCTCTGTGTCCTCAACAAATCACCCTTAACAGTTTTTAATTTTTATTTTTTGGTTTTTCGAGACAGGGTTTCTTTGTGTAGCTTTGGTGCCTGCCCTGGATCTTGCTCTGTAGACCAGCCTGGCCTTGAACTCACAGAGATCCGCCTGGGTCTGCCTCCCTAGTGCAGAGATTAAAGTCGTGCGCCGCCGCCGCCGCCGCCGCCGCCGCCGCCGCCGCCACCACCACCACCACCGCCACCCCCCCCCCACCCCCCACCCCCCACCCCCCGCTCACCCTTAACGATTTATAGAGACAGATTCTTAAATTTCTTGCAAATGGGATGTGAAATACACATTAATTAGTAGGTGTAATTAATAGTTTTGTGTCATCAATTAGGTATATATCTAATACTTAACAAAAGGAATAATTAACTGTTCACTGAGCCCTGAAACCTTTAGAGTATTTGGTAGAAATACTAAGTTGATTTGAGATAATCTTTCCTAGAATTGTGTTATAATGGGGTAACTGTGGTTTTCGATATTGGCAGGCCTCCCTGCTGCCTTAGTCTCCGTGTACGTCTGCTTTCAGGGACATAGTTAATCACCTCAAAACATTAAATGGAAAATTCCAGAAGTAAACTCATCCTAAGTTTTAAATCGTACGTTGTTCTGAGTAGCACGATGAAACTGTGTGCCTCTCTCCTGTGTCCTCTCCAGGGTGTAAGTCATCCTTCTGTTCATGACGCTAACCAACCCTGTCTACATCTCCACCTTGTATGTGCTACTCACTGTTAGTCTTTTAGTAGTTGTCTTGGTTTTCAGATGAATGTAGTGGAACCACTCAAGTAACCCTTATTTCACTTAATGGCTCCAAAATTTGGGAGTAATGATGTTGTTTCTGGGCTATGCCACAAAGAATCCATGAAGTTCCTCCTTTAAGTGTAAAGGGGAATTTCTTGACTCTGTAAAGAACAACCAGCTGCCGTGGTTCTGAGCTCTATAGTAAGAACGAATTTTACTCATCACATTGTGAACAAGGAAGGGAACTGCACAGTTTTGCTGTGGCCCCTCGAGCTGTGAGAGTGGCTTAAGGAATGCAGTATGTGAAGATGCAGAGGTCTACTGAGCAGGGTCAGGTACCTATTGAAAGGGTCTGAGTTCTACTGAGCAGGGTCAGGTACCCATTGAAAGGATCTGAGGTCTACTGACCAAGGTCAGGTACCCATTGAAAGGGTCTGAGGTCTACTGACCAAGGTCAGGTACCCATTGAAAGGATCTGAGGTCTACTGAGCAGGGTCAGGTACCCATTGAAAGGGTCTAAGGTCTACTGAGCAGGGTCAGGTACCCATTGAAAGGGTCTGAGGTCTACTGAGCAGGGTCAGGTACCCATTGAAAGGATCTGAGGTCTACTGAGCAGGGTCAGGTACCCACTGAAAGGATCTGAGGTCTACTGAGCAGGGTCAGGTACCCATTGAAAGGGTCTGAGGTCTACTGAGCAGGGTCAGGTACCCATTGAAAGGGACTAAGGTCTACTGAGCAGGGTCAGGTACCCATAGAAAGGATCTGAGGTCTACTGAGCAGGGTCAGGTACCCATTGAAAGGATCTGAGGTCTACTGAGCAGGGTCAGGTACCCACTGAAAGGATCTGAGGTCTACTGAGCAGGGTCAGGTACCCATTGAAAGGGTCTGAGGTCTACTGAGCAGGGTCAGGTACCCATTGAAAAGATCTGAGGTCTACTGACCAGGTTCAGGTACCCATTGAAAGGATCTGAGGTCTACTGACCAGGTTCAGGTACCCATTGAAAGGATCTGAGGTCAGTCTACCGTCGACAGATGGGACTGCTGTGTCTGTTTCCTCTCTAGCTATAGCTTTTAGTTCCTTTAAACTATTTCTGTCTACTTTGAGGTATAGTTAATATTTTAATAGCTGTATTTATTTACTTATAAGCAGTAAGTGTCCTTTTTTCTTAAATGAGTTAAATGGGGGTACTATACTTTTTAATTTAACAAAATCTTCATAGTATAGAGTTAAAATTTTGAGTCAGGGTCAACTAATTATAAATTCTGTGTTAAAAACTACAAATTTTAAGTACCTATTTTTCTTTGAAGGGAAGGGGACAGGATCTTCATCAATGTTTCTTCTAACTTTGCATTTAAAATATTTTGTTTTATATTTTGGGTTTTATCCAACTCTAGAACATGGTAACTTCTCCTTTGTAAGATTATTTTAAATTTTTTTTTTTTTTTTTTTTTTTTTTTCGAGACAGGGTTTCTCTGTGTAGCTTTGCGCCTTTCCTGGAACTCACTTGGTAGCCCAGGCTGGCCTCGAACTCACAGAGATCCGCCGGCCTCTGCCTCCCGAGTGCTGGGATTAAAGGCGTGCACCACCACCGCCCGGCTATTTTTTTTTTTTTTTGCTCTTCCACATATCATAATCTTTTTGAAATCTGCTTTTTAAACTTCACCTTGGTTTTCAGTATCCCCTTTATACTTAATTATGCATGCAATTAGATTTTAAAAATAATTCTTATTTCCTCTTGTTTTTGCTTGAGTCTGTTGATTTTATTCACTTCCCCCAGACTATTACACGATTTCTGAAAGAATTTAGTACTTTCTTTGCTTGTTTGTTTTTACTACATTTGCAGATTTCCTCATAATAGCAGATTTTCCATTCTCAACCTGCTACCAGCCCTCCTGTCTGTCCATCTCTGAGCTTTTAATCTCCACGTAGTTGCCTAGTTGACCTTTTTCATTAAATCATACATACCTACGTTGTTACAATCATGAAGACGTTCTCTTGTTTATTAATAGAAAAGAGACCCAGGTAGAAACAGAATAATAAATTCAAATGCCACAGACTTTAACTACTGCTATCATCTCTTACAGTGTTCGCCGGGCGGTGGCGGTGGTGGTGGTGGTGCCTTTAATCCCAGCACCTGGGAGGCAGAGCCAGGCGGATCTCTGTGAGTTCAAGGCCAGCCTGGGCTACAGAGCGAGATCCAGGACAGGCACCGAAACTACACAGAGAAACCCTGTCTCAAAAAACCAAAATAAAATAAAAGTGTTTGACTGTTTATACTCATCTTAGGGGGAAAAAAAGATTCACATTTTAATGGACAGTTTAGGTAAATTACTCCTTTTTCTTTCTTGTTTTCTTTAATCGTTGTAATTTATGTTTTGTGAATTCCAGGATTAGAATGGCTGAACACAGAAGAGCCTCTTTCTATTTACAAGGATCTGTGTGGAAAAGTGGTTGTCCTGGATTTCTTCACATACTGCTGCATTAACTGTATTCACCTGTTGCCTGATCTCCACGCCCTAGAGTGCAGATTCTCCGATCAAGGTAGCTGCTTTTGATTGGTTTCTCGCAGACTTGTACTTAAGCACTGGAGCAGTGGCTCCTTTGCTCCGATGGAGATGGGAATGACCATTTGGCAAGACTAGTGCTTCTGGGTGTGATTCTAATCTGTGAGCAGGACTGACGCCCTGTCTCCCTGTGCTTTTCAGTGTTGAGATAAGGTCTCGCTGTGTAGCCCGGCAGCGTCGGGTTGGCCCTCCATCTCTGGAGCCCATGCTTTGCCTCCCAGTTGCCATTAGCCTGTGCCTGAGTTCCGTATGTTTTTCTGTGAGGGGTAAACTTAGTGATAATGGTTTGCTTATTTGAGAAGTAGAATTTAGAATTCAGGTTTTGTCTGAAGGTTTGAGCCTAATTTACTTTCTTCATGATGAGATATTTAGAAAAGTCTTTTTCTATCCCAGGCTTAACTAAATTTGTTCTATGAAAAAAGTGAAACATCTGGCCCCAATCTTATACTCTTCTCAGTGCGATGATACAAAGGTTTAAATTACTTAGCAGGAAATGTCATTAGGCTTCTGACGTGAATCACAGTGGAATGCAAAATACTTTTTCTTTGACCTTGTGTCATTAAAAAATGATTTGTTACAGTTAATGTTCCCAAAGCACACTAGGAAATCCTCTTACAGCATTAAAGCTTTGGGAGGTAGGAAAGATTATACTTGGAGTTTGCTGTCCAAGTTGGGAAATAATCAGGCTTTTTTTTTTGACTCTTTCAAAACAACAGGAGAGTAAACTTAATAAAATGGTTTCATTGTGTTAAGTTTAAACGCATATGCTTGGCATCTACATGAAAGATATAGGGTGGCCGATCTTCTGACTAGATGTTGGGGTAGACCATGTGTGTGCACAGATGCCCGATAGCTTAGATGTGGTTGGACAAGACTGCTGACAGAATCTAAAATACAAACAAAGAGTTAGATGCTTTAACTATATATATTCTGCTTTTAAAATATTAACCAAAAGATGTGCAAATGACTAACTCATCCAAAGTTGATGTGTATAGATTAAAGAACTGTGTTATTATGTCATAGGTGGTATGTGCCTGTGTTTCTTATTCAAGAAGCACATTTATTGAGCATGCTATGAATGTTTTTAGGAAATGTGTAACAAATCTGAATAAGAAGCATTAAGGTGGCAAAATCCATTATTTTATAAAATTAATGTATGTAAATTTTTTAAGCCTTATGGACCTCTCTCACCAAAGAGTAGTAACTCACTTTGCCTGTGACACTTTGAAAAGAGTTCCCAGTGGAACAGAACTGACCTAAAACTTTAAGCAATAGTGCATGTGAAATTGAAAATGGGCAGTAGGATATACCTGACTGAGAAAGTATCAGGTAAGCAAGCATAGATTCCAGAAAAGGTAGGATTCTTGGTCTAAGAACAAGAACAGGTTGAGTGTGGCAAGGCTTGTGATAAAAATAAAAAGAGACAAGGGCTGGAGAGATGGCTCAGTGGTTAAAAGCACTGGGTACTCTTCCAGAGATCTTGAGTTCAATTCCCAGCAACCACATGGTGGTTCAAAACCATCTCTAATAGATTCTGATGCCTTCTTCTGACATGCAGGTGTACATGCAGACAGAGGACCCAGACATTAAATAAATAAATAAATAAATAAATAAATAAATAAATAAATGCAGACAGAGGACCCAAACATTAAACAAACAAACAAACAAACAAACAAATAAATAAATAAATATTGAAAAGATATAAATAAATAAAATGAGACAAAGACCAATAGGTTAAGGCCATGTTGCAGAGTACTTTTTTGGGCATTCCTACTAATTCAGCTATCTTCTTCTGGTGTGGATGTGGCAGTGTTGAAGATTGTTTTTTATTTGTTTGTTAGTTTGTTTTAAGAGAAGGAGACATAGTAAGATTGTATTTTAGAACAGCACTACATGTTAAGAATCTGAGTGTTGACAATTTTCCTATCTAAAATCACCCCTAAATGATATGTAGTTAGCTTAATTGGTTAACACCATACCCAGAGCAGATTCAATGACCTCCTCTCAAGGGTCTGTGTCCTTTGCCAGTTGATGTGGAATTTTTTTTTCATGATATATATATACCTCTGAAAAGTAAAATGCTTTGTAAGTAGAAAGAGTTCCAGGAAGATGGAGGAGTAAGAAGCAACAGAAACATCCTTTTGTAGAAGATTGTACAGACAGAGTCTGTCTAGGGTGGACCTACATTGAAGGCAGAGCTGCTTTTTTCAGCAAATATTTTCAGCAAATGTCACAAGACAGTTAAAAACTAGTCAAAAAAGACAAGAAAGAGTGGCCTAGTCACAGAAAATAAAAACCACAGAGACTGTCCCTTTAAAAGACCAAATGGCAGGTCTATGAGTCTCTAATACAAATGTTAAAGATGCTCAGAGAACAGCAGAAAATATAGAAAAGATAAAACCATATATGAGAAAAAGGAAATAACAGTAAAGAGATTGGAGAACCATTTAAAAAAGCACAAAGAAAACTCTGGAACTGAAGACCACATCGGCTGAAGTGAGCATTGGGAGGCAGAGCTTAAAGCACAGGCAGCAGAAAGAGACTGTGTTCACATTGGGCATAGCTTGAACATGTGAGACCTTAAAGCCTGCCTCAACAGTGACACACTTCCTCCAACAAGGCCACACCCAATAGTGCCACTCCCGTGGGCCAAGCATTCAAACACATGAGTCTATGGAGACCATACCTATTCAAACCAATGAGGGAGGAAAGTGAGCAGTTTGAGGACAGCCTGAATTATAGAGTGAAATGCCATTTCCAAACAAGGAGGGGGTGTGTGTGCTTAACTTCTGTTTTTAAAATTAACTTTTTAGAGACAAATTTGTGCCCCTGTGGGAGAAATTCAGTCTGTTCACTAGCTCTGAATCCTACTGACTAGTGGGACCCATTTGCTATATATATCTATATATATCTATATATATATAGATATATATAGATATATATATATAGAGAGAGAGAGAGAGAGAGACAGTTTATGAGGCAGCTATAAACTTGAAACTGGCCATAGGGGAAGTATTTATACCGTGAAAGTCAACAAACGCTATAAATCAGAGAATTTTTTAAATTGTTTTTGATCATTCCATCAAATCAAAGAGCTAGTTTCCTAGCATACCCAAATGACTTATTGGTAGACTATAGATCAGCAGTTCTCAACCTGTGGGTCTCAACCCCTTTGGGGGTCACATAACAGATATCCTGCATATCGGATATGTGCATTACAATTCATAACAGCAAAATCACAGTTATGAAGTAGCAATGAAATAATTTTATGGTTGAGGGTCACTACAACATGAGGAACTGTATTAAAGGGTCGTAGCATCAGTAAGGTTGAGAACTGCTGCTATAGATTAATTTGTGTTTCTGCATTTGGCTGTTTTGAATATTGTTTGTGGAATAAATTTTTAAGCTTTAGAAACTACTTTGGTAAGTGATCTCATGTAGACTTATATTGCTTACAAACTGTATGGCCGTGGCAGGCTTCTTACTAAGTGTTCTTACAGCTTAAATTAATCCATTTCTATAAGTCTATACCTTGCCACATAGCTCGTGGCTTACCGGCATCTTCACATGCTGTTTGTCATCATGGCGGCTGGCAGTGTCTCTCTGACTCAGCCTTCCACTTCCCAGCTTTATTCTCCTCCTTGTCCCGCCTACACTTCCTGCCTGGCTACTGGCCAATCAGTGTTTTATTTATTGACCAATCAGAGCATTTGACACACAGACCATCCCACAGCACTCTCAGCCTTTTAATTTCAAAGAAACATTGCTGCAATAATATGCTACTGTATGAAAATCCTGGTAACTCAAGTTTTTTTATATTGTCAGAAGATAATTCAGTTCATATTGAAAAAGGCATATCCAGAAATTATCACATGGAAGTTCAGTAAGCTGTCACCAGATTAAACTTGCTTTCTTGCAGCTAAATGTCTTCCACTATCTGATATTTTTCTGCCCATAGTGGAGCAATGCTGCTCCTGTGCTGATGGTCAGTGGCGTATTTTAAATCCAAGCTCACAGCAGAATGAAGAATTGCTGTTTCAGACCACTCTTGCCCAGCATGGTGGTGCAAGAGTGATCCCATCACTCAGTTATCAGAGGCCAGAAGATTATAAATTCTAAGCCAGCCTGGACTTCATGCCAAGACCCTGTCTCAAAATACCAGAATAAATAAATAAATGACAGCTTTTCAATTCAGGTTTGCAATAGAGACCAATATTTTTATAATAGCATATGAAAAACTACTTTAAACAAACAGTAAATAATGCTTAATTGTAGTGAGTCACTCTAATGCTTAGACATTTTAGAGGATGTAACTGTGCCCTGAGGTCATTTGTCCATAATAATTCAATATATATTTATGTTAAATTGGTAAGTGCCCAAGTGATTCCTACTTGCTGCTATGTGAGAGTTTCTAAGATTTTAGCTTCTTTATGCTATTACCTCAGTATATTGTTATAGAACTCATTTAGGACAATAGCTGTTGTCACAGGAAAAGCAGTCTTGATTTATACAAAAGCATTTTCTTAGAAAAAGCTATGCATATTTTAATGTGATTTCTAGGTATATTTAATGTGTAACTGAATCGGATGTTTTGGAGCCTGAATATTTTGTTCCTGTTAGTGAACATTAGTACCTGCCGTGGAGTATGTAGGCCTTATCTGCTGTACACTTGACACACATCTGCAGGAGTGCACCTCTAACTTTACGTGAAACTAAACTCGGAGTGAATTAATTTCAGTTTGAGTCAGTTTCCAGACCACCCTCAATGGTAACTCATGTAAAGGACCAGGTGAGGCCTAGGATTCAGAGTCGCGTCGCTTTTGGGGCTCCAGGTGAGTACAGTGGAAGAGCACAAGCCAGGTCAGGGAGAGGAAGGAGCTGGGAAGGGGCAGCCGTGGAGACCAGTGCAAGGTCTCGGCCACTCCCGGTGGGGACTTGACACACTGCCCACCAGGGAGCGCATTACCAATCGATAGG